ATCGACCCACTAAACAGTTTTTCGTCGGTATTATTAACCAGCGTTCCCTGATCATTCCGCGGAATTCTTTCGAGGGATTTTCGAGCCTTGTCCGACGGGGCGCGTCAGTGGCGTCTTGAACGCTTTTAAGCGCGCACGAGTAAGCCGTCTCGCAAGATCGCGTAGCGAGCAAACGGTGTCTGTAATCGTAATCAATTTCGAAAATCCGTTCCGAAGGAGCTTGCAGTCCAATTCTGCTCTGTGCGTTCGACGGGTGTACATGTCCCCGTTTGTAACGTTATTATTCGGCACTTTCGAGTTTGGCGGTGAATTATTTCCGCGGTATCGCTCATCCGTGGACACGGTTATTCTTATATCAGAGTAACGGAAAGTCTGTAATAAGATGTCGACGGGGACGCGAAAACGTCAGATTAATCAATCGGAAAGCGCAACAATGCGCATTATACGAGATGATTCCTCTCTCTTAAGGATAAAATTCGATAATAAGCTTCTGGACAGAACCGATGTAGGTTACTGGTCTTCGTAGATTGTCGGTGGTAGTCGAATGAAAAAGGATTCCAGCGAGCAAGCGAGAGAGAGAGAGAGAGGGGGGGGGGGAGACGCGACAGATACCGGAGACCCATTGAAGTGACACGTCTTTTGTGATTTTCTCATTACTCGAGTGGAAGGTCGATCCTGGAAGCCCATCTAGCTGCCGGGACGATTTCCTCCGCCCTCTCGTTCCTCGCTGCATCGCCCGCGCTCGCTCTCTGATCCTTCATCGCGTTTTCTTTCTCTATCTCCTCCGTCGTTCGTCCCTCGCGCGTACCTTAATACCTCACACTGAGGCAGCCCACGTAGCTGTGTACGTGGAATTACTCCTTTCTTGCTGCTTCGTAAGATACGTATTTCGCGCTCCTCCCGACTCCCGATCGGCGGCAGATCGGAAAATTATATTTCCTTGCGCCGCCGCAATCGCCTTACGGCAGCTGAGGCCCCCCCTCCCCCTCTCCTATCAATCCATCAATCCCGGCTATTATCTGTCCATTGTGTTCTGTACCACCTATCTGAACAGTTACCCGTCTTTTCCCTGCTTGCCACGTGTGATTTCGCATGGGAAAAGTCAGAAACAAGAAATTCGACGAGGTCACGGTGAGAAAATTTGATGCCACAAAGATTTCAAGTACTTCGACAGTAATTCCCGCTCTCCGTTGACTTCGTCAATTGATTTTGCCGCGGAGTAAGAGCTAACGATGGAATAACGAAACAGTACATTACATATAAATAGCAATTAAAAAGTAAATAACCACACGATAATTCATTCACTCGCACTGGTAGAATCTGATTGTCCGCTGATATTTAACATGTCGGAGAATTCAAGCTATCTCTTTTTTTTTATCGTTCCCCCGAAGCTGGCCCGACATTTTCAAATCCTCCTTCAGAGAGATAAAAAAAAAGCTTGCACATTCGATTGTTCGCGCATACCGTTGAAAAAACTGGGGCATCGCTTTGAGCGCCGGCGAGCATTTTCGCATTTCCGGAGAAAACGCAGCGAGTGACGTGAATCGCTTATCAGACCGGCGTGTTGGCCGGGAGTGAGTAGTCGGTTCTTCTCGAAACAAGTTTGCGTCGAGTCCATCTTTCTCCGTGATTCGCGACGCCAATTTGTGCTTACGCGAGCGAGCGAGAGGGAAAAGGAGAGGGGGAGAGCCAAAGTCGTTACGCGGCATTGTTCGCGCATTGTTGCCGGGGCATGCGCCGACATTCTTCCTAGTGGCGTGTCCATTGTCGAGCGAGTCCGGGCTCGTAGGCGGAAGCGAGGAGAAGTCGAAGACTATCGTGAGGCGGAAGGGTGTGAAGGCGCCAGTACGCTTCCACGGCTGATCCGGCCGTCTCGTCTGTCTGTCAGCCGACATCAATTAGTATCGTAAGGCGCTCGTAACTGACTGTGTACACACTCCTGCGAACGGGCGCACTTGACGGAAACACGCGTTAACTCCTTCCGCACGCACGCGCGTCATCGGCCGATTGCGTGTTTCTTGCGATTTTCTCGCGAAAAAGAATTTCAAGGGGAAAGGGGAGCGGGGAGGAGGGAGGGGGACACTCGCTTGCTTTGTATTTCTCAAATTTCATTAAATAGTTGCTCGAGTAAGTCGGAAGTTAAGATTCTGCTAAATTGAAGAGCCCGCTCTCGAGATTGAACGAATTAAAAGTTCCGATGGAAGATAGTCCGCTTACGATTGACGGAAAAATAAGATTCCGTTCGCGCCGCCAAGGCTCAATTAATCGAAGCGTTCTCGCTTCTTCAACTTACGTAATGGCGCCGTCGACGTATTTACCGCTATCAATGCGAACTGCTCGCGCAATTATTATTGGAAGGCTGCCGGCAGGACGGCGGAGCATTTCTACGTGTATCTTGTACGGATGCCAGCCTTCGGTGCACGCTCGCACACCCGTCACGCAATGTGTACCGACGCGAGCTCTACGCGTATACTTACACGTCGGACAGGCAAACTGGCTTAATCTCACAAAGGTGTTTACGCATACATACGCACGCGCACACATTCGATCGTGTACGCGCACGGTTGCGCGTAAACACCGACCGTTGCTTCCGTTGATTCCATCGACAATTTCCCTCCTTAGGGGACGTCATTATCATCCATTTGCTAATATAACAAGATAAATTGCCCTTTCCCTCGCGCAACATCACCTGATAAATTTTCTCCCCAAACCCCCGCCGTCTGTTAAGGACGGAGGCGGGGACTGCTCGGATGAAGAGTGCCGTTGTCTGAAATTCGATAGGACGTTGGATTCACCCCTTAACGCACGGCGAAATTTAATTCCCGTGACATCGCGCGTACTCGTGGATTCGCCAACAAGTTTTGGGAGACGCACAATGGCGGTTTTTTTCTCCCGGGGACAAAATTGAGTCGATCGAGTTTCGTGCCAATGAGTGTCGATGCAGGTAGTCTCGTTTACGTGGTCAACTCAGGCCCGGCTTCACCAACGTTGTTTAACTTTAAGCTTAGCTTAATTCGTTCTTTGTCTCTTTCCAACTGTTACTTTAGAAAGAGACAAATATGAATTAAATCAAGATTAAAGTTAAGCGACGTTTGGTGAAACTCTAAGGTCCAGTTTCACTAAAGGTCGTTTAACTTTAATCTTGGTTTAATTCACGCTTGTTTCTTTCTAAAGTAACAGCTGGAAAGAGACAAAGAACGAATTGAGCTAAGCTTAAGCGACGTTGGTGGAACCGGGCCTAAAGCCAACGGCACACGATACTATTTTTCCTACTGGATTCCTTACGAGAGCCAACCAGGATTCAGCTTTGAGTCACCTGATCGAAAACTCTGCGTCCTGATTGGCTCTCGTAAGCAATCCAGTAGGAAAAATAGTATCGTGTGCCGTTGGCTTTAGACGCGATGGTTCCGATCGGAATCTTTCTGCCGATGCGCGTATCGTTAAAATTTTCTGCGAGACCTGTTTCGTGTCGCACGTACGCACCGCGAGAGCGTGCGCCGAATGGCCGATAACGGAGCGCCACGGTTCCGCCTTGACGATTCTATGTCAAAGAGCGTGGCATAGAGGCTCGCGCGGAGGAAAAAAGGGCAGCCGGTCGTCAAAGTTGCGTGCCGAGAGTGGTAAAACGCTCCCCGTTCTCGGTATTTACGCAAACACGTGCCCGAGTCACATCCAGCAGGATTTCTTTCCGTTCGTTCTCCGGTTTGCCTTCTTCATCAACACGTTCCCGAACGTTTCTCCTCGTTATCGCGTCTATCGCACCCGGACGATCTTTACGATATCCCGCGAAATCTCGCCCTTTTATTAGTTTCTATCAGAAAGTTCCGTGCGATTTTCTTCTTAACGTTACAACTTGCGCACGCGTAAGCTTGAAAATTTGTTTAATACTTATTTTTACGTCTTTGTACAGCGTGCAATATCTGCAAATTATTTTTTTTAATCGTGCACATGTTACGAGAATTTTACGATGTTTCTTCAACGCTCCGTGGAAACAAGATGCACTTCCCGTGCCGCATCCTTGCGCGAGGCAACATTTTAATGGCAGAGATCGATTCGCGCATCGACGCAACGGCGATGCAAAGATTAATCTTGAAAATGCGCGCAACACGTACTATGTCTATATTACGTAATTCTCATTACATTACATAATTCTATCATTTGCGCACGTGATGCAAATGACACGTGTAAGGCGAATTTTCCACACGGCGATGGGAAATTAGGTTGTCCGCTACGATGCGATTCGAGCAAACTGTACGCCATATGTGTGATTTGGTCGATAGGTTCGCTTGTCGACGTGTTAATCTGGCTATTAGGTCGCGCAGCCGAGATATCTCGCGAACTCCGTATGTGCCAGATGGCACGATCGAGATAGCTTGCGCCGTGCACATCTCGCCAAGTGCATCATCGATATCTGCTCCGGGCTCGCGCTTTTACCCCGCGAATTAACCCCGCGGAAAAGGGAAGCCTTCAACTCGCGCGACCAAGGATTTTAATGGACCTGCGATATTCGGTGCCGGTTAAGATGCGGCATTAACTTCTCCGCTGGTTTTTGCGCAATGACTCGATCAGATCTTATATATCTATCTAAATTTTCTTTATTACATTTTTCTATCCTTGTGCACTCAAAAAAATATCTTACTAACGCAGCTAGATTTCTAGGTGTCGCAAAATGGTAGAGGACTTTAGGACTCAGTCTAGTCCGCACTATCTGTAGTGGTGAGGCGGGTATTACATAACGCCCTGTATATCTCAGTTATTTTTTCGTACCTAGAACATTGTTGCTGCAGTTGCAAGATCTTTTTTCCAGTGTATTTTCACGCACATTCCAACGTTCGAACGAAAAGTTTTCAAATTTTGACATATCCGACACAAATTAATAATAAAACAATTGGACACGTTGACACCCTTGTCGCGATCGGTGTCCTAGATAAACAGCTCGAATCATCGATCTGACCCCCGCGACGGTATATTTAACCCTCTGTTCTCTCTTTTGCTTCCAGGTGAGTGTCCAGGAATTCCAGTACGCGCGCGGGACGGGCGCGTCCCTGACGATGGTAAGCCACAAAGCAATGTACACCGTCGCTTTATCCGCGTATTGCCGCCCTCCCGCCGAAAGACTCTTCTTCCCGGGACGAGGTGGCGCGTGAAGGATATGGGAAGTGGTCCTAATATCTCGCAGGCACACATCCGTCTTAATTAACGTCGCGATACATCTCGACTTCCGCCCGTGCTGCCGCCGGGCTGCGGCATTCGGTTTAATATGCGCCAGCTTACTCCTAATAATCTCGCTGCATGACAAAAATTACCGCAGAAATTTACCTCGTTTCCTCCCCTGCATTAATTCCGTTATTATTTCACGTTAGAGAAATGGCCTTCGTAAACTATCACAGATTACGCGGACGGGACGGACGATAGAAGGTGCCGTTTTGTTTCATTTTAAAATAGCACATAGACGAACGTTAATTAGATTGTCGTCCTTCTAACGTTATGTCCGCGCCATCCTCTTCTATTGTCCTTGTAATTTGAACTTTGCAATTATCTTGTAATTTACGACATTAATTATAGCGAAATATTGTTAAATATGCGCATCACTTAACAAAATCTGACTCGTGCGTTGTGTGCGCAACACATAAATTTCGTAATTTAATAAATTTGACGTGGATTCGGTCGTGCAGCTCTTTACCACATTAAATATAAATGGCAATTCTGCTGGGACATATAATCGCACGTGAATCAATCATTTTAGCGCGATAATAAATATTGGCGTCGATGTTTTACGTATTGAAAACAACAGTTAGTCAATGCCGATATTTTCCATCGCTCATGCAGTCTGGTGTATTATTAAGCTGATCTAATGCGTCAATGTAACGTAACTGCAGCTCACTGCATTAATCCATTGATGTCATGACGCTTTTATTAAGCATGCTTCCAACGCTAACGCGATGAGTCGTCACTCGTGTACTCGTGCAATTTTCGTGAAACGCGGAAGATCCTGCGGCGTTAATCAAATACGACGGCTTAATTAATTAAACTTTTATGGAAACAGCCGTGCGCAAACAGCCAGCGGAGATCTGCTCCCGTTTCGCCCACGGCCCACGGGAATGGGGATCGGAAGGTGGTCGTTGAATGAAAATAAAACGGTAGCGGTGCGCCGCGTCTGAGGCCTCTTATGCATTTTCGAGCACGCGGGTGCACACGACGGATGCAGTTTCGGTTAGACCGCGAATGGATTCGCCGTTAACTTTTATACCCGCCCCGGCGCGATGCCGGACGAGCTTCTCTCAACATTTTTTAATATTTCGCAAGGTATCCCGCGGTGAGGAAGTAAGAGTCGATCTCGCGGAAAGCCGTCTCGCGGCTGATTAAACTGGTCCCGGAGGTAAAACGGAAGAGGAAATTCGTGACGCGATAACAATGTACTGTAATACGACTATAAACACCGGCGGTATCCGGGAGAAAAATCGAGATCCCCCTCGTTCGATCGACCTGTCTGCCTCTTTACCGTCTCGGCCGTTCTTGCCGGCGTGAAATAAGAGACGTCCCGTGGGCGACAGTGACGAATGTGTTTGTATATTGTCAGTCTGATCGTCAGAGATGTCACACGAGAACACCGTAACGCACGAAAGAGTGTCGCGAGGGGGTTGAAACAGTGCGTGGAACGGCGGATATGACGTGTGCGTCAAACAAAGTGTAGGAAATCCACGTTAATATCAGAAGGAAAATCGCTTTTTCGACGATGCGTGGATTTACCTCTCTTTCTCTCTTTTTACCTATACGTTATTTCAAGGTGGGCTGACAATGAGGCTAATTTTTCTCTCTTGCTTTCTCTCTCTTCCTTCTTTTTTCTTTCGGTAGTGTTCGCGACAGTTGTTGCAATGGAATACTTGGCCGGCGCGTGTAAATATTGCCATGATCCTTCATCCATCCCGGTGTAACGTTTATACATGTTTGAACGACAACAAATTGAAAGGGAAATAGAATAGACCGCTTTTATTTCGTCGAGTGTTACGACAGAATTTATTATTAACCACGTATGATTGCCGTCGTTTTCGATCGCGCTCGCGCGCGATCGTAAAAGGGGGGTTCGGTCGTTCGGTTCTTTTACACCGGGTTTTATTCGAGCGAGTCAACTTCTCTCACGCGTCACGGGCGCTGATTTAAAAGCGCGATTCGAAAGAGAATATGGCAGCGGCACAAAAGTGACGGTAAACCGGAATGCCGCGTCGGATCAGCGGCCGTGCGCTTTAGCCTTCCATATTCAAAGCCCCTAATAATGCCTCTGAGATCCGTCTCGTTCCAGGCGGTTTCGTGTTTCCACCGTATCATTGAGTGCACGGTACATTGCACAGTGGTCTTAACGATCGCAATTGTTTCAAAATGCAAGCGCCCCGACTTACGACCCGCATCCCGCAAATGCGATGCGACGCAACGCGCGGCGCCACGACGCATCGGCTTATCTTTATTCCGCGCGTAAACCTGCGGGGGCAACGGGTCTTATCGGCGCGGAAGCCTCCAGGTATCGTTAGAGCGCGACACGCTCCCGGCTTGCCGACGAACAAGCTGACCATTAGCATTTATTTCCTCGTTACCGGTACCCGGCGCTCTTTTCCATCTCATTATTGGAAGTTCCCCGTGTTTCGCGGGTAACTTGGAGCGTCTTTTACCTCCCGGCGCTGCGAATTCACGCGTCTTGTACGTGCTCGAAAAATTTTTCTTCTCCTGTCATTTCACCTTATACCACACGGAAAGAACAATGTAGCTGCTGTAGCTAAAACTTAGCAAAATAGGGACAGCTAATATTTTTAGTTGTGATAGCTCAATATTTTGCTACGACAGCAAACCGTTTGCTGTCGCACCTAATACAATAGGCACAGTAGCAAAATATTGAGCTATCACAACTAAAATATTAGCTGTCCCTATTTTGCTAAGTTTTAGCCACAGCAGCTACATTGTTTTTTCCGTGCATACACTTTGCGTCGTTGATCCTCCGCGCACTGAATATCCGGCTGTTGAGAGGAAGGTCTAGATTTTTCCACGGAATCGTGCAAACGTGCAATCTGCGAAATTGATCAGTAGTGATAATAATATTACATATTTTAGTGCATATTACAAATGAAGGGATTAACACCTCAAATTCAGCGTACTAATAGTAATTATTCGCTAGTATGAATCATTAATGATACTGGTTAAAATCGGGGCTCGATCGAAGTAATCTGAATTAATGTTTCCAGTTGACAGCGACATGCTCGCACAATATCCTGATGAAATATTCACGCGATAACCCCCTGCAGCGCCTGAATTTCATATCTAGTCCACATGCCGCGGGATGACTGTTTCTCTCTCATCTTCGGGCGATTTCCTGCGTGAGAACGCCTCTTCGCCAAGTGTTTCCTCTGTGAAGCCGAGACCTTCTTCTCTCGGAGGGGGGGCTTTCGCCTTTGTGTCGCGAGCTTACGTTGTTCACCAGGACATCAAAGCGTACGCGCAGCACGGCGGTTTCTCGCCCTCGCGATTTCCTGGACGGCGAATTTCCGAGGACGTGACGTACTACGTGAAAACCATTTCTCCGGGCGAATCCTTGGCTTGACACTTCCAGCCCATGGCCCTTTAACCAACTTCCTACTAGCAGCATGTGAGCGACTTTAAAGGGCTGTGAAAATACCGTCGTGTTGTCGGGTGTTTTACATATAGATTGTACGACTAGCCTTCGTATCAAATGCCTTTGTTATTTTATAATTACTCTCACTTTATTTATAGCTCCAGTTTATCCTTATTATAAGCAATTTCGCTTATTAGAATGAGAGTGTCGCATAAACTCGAAGCGTATATCGGGCATTAGATGGTAGCTTTGTTTGAGGAATGCGTTTTACTTGTTTCGACCACGACGTCGCTCGATGACTAAGCGTTAAATTTTTCTCATTTATCCTATAGTTCTATCCTATCTCGTGTTATTATAAATAATTGCACGCTAGAATAAAAGAACTTGCAGAAATTCCGGATTACACGCAGAACAGTTGTTCTATTTCGGCGGTGTTTCCGAAAGTATCTTTACCTACTGCGCTCATTTCGCTTTTGTTTGCGACAATGGCCAAGAATAAAGCAGACCGCATTCTTTTTATAACTTTGCGATGTGCGAGGATTTTTTGAAATATTGAACAATTTATATATAGGTACTTCTTCGCCTTCGAATAATTTTAAAATAATCTCCTCTGCTTCGGTGCGACGTAAAGTTATCAGCGGTTATAGCTTTCTCGTTTTAATTTTTGCCGTTATTCTTGCGTTTACTCGCGCTCAGATCACGCATCCTAAGTTTGTCACCCTTGTCGGAATATCTTTGAGGCGAAATGTCGCTATGATAGATTACTTTTACCCGCGCGCCGGCTTCCGCCGTCATTGAGCGGCTCAGCCGCGAATACGTCACTCCATTGCGAAAATAGATTCCGCGCGATTCACCGCACGGAAATACCATTCGTTCGCCGGCATCGGAAGCGCATTGGAAGCATCGGATGCGGGAGCGAACGGCGAAACGTACGGAAAGTGGAAATCGGGAGCTATCATCGTACAAGTATCGCGAACGTCGAAGCGAATGCTGAAAGTACCCGACGGTAGCACCGGAAAGCAATAATAGATCTGTTCTTCAAATTACTTGCGGAGGGAGTTCTTTTTAAAAACGTAGGATAAAACAGCTTCAGTGTTTTCTTGACCGTATCTGGCATTTTTAATAATACAGAAAATTTTATTGCGAACAATATTACCTCAGCCAGAGTTTGACCTGGACTTCCTTACACTCTAGGCGGGCGCCTCACCAATTCGACCACTGAGGCACGTAGGACAAGAGTTAAAAAATAAGAGCTTTGTATATAAACGGAACGAGCGAGGGGTAAACCGCTGACCAAAATCGTGTACGCCAATGCCTGTTAATGTCCAGTGGGTATTAGCTTTGTATTTACTTTGTCTTATTTAAATAAGACCTGTCCTGCGCGCCGGTTTCTTTTCGGACATAACGGAGTTTTCTTACAGAGTGTACCTACATCTTGCTCGGACCTACACGGCT